TCGGGTCTTAAAAGTGCTTTACACCAGCTGCGGTGTCCAGCCAGGCTCAGGGTCCTGTGTCTGGGACGCCCCCCCCCCCGATAGCTCTGCCTGAAGCCAGGACAAAAGCCCCCCACCCTGTTAGGCATCTCTCTCTCTCTCTCTCTCACACACATACACACGCACACATGCACCCACACACGCACGCATAAAGCTTTGAAGAGATCTGCGCACTTCACATACGAATCACACATAGGCAGAGTGCAGCTTTAACAGACCCGTGACCCGTGCCGAACCACAGAAGCCAATTCGAGTGCCTTTAAAGAGAGAAAAGCTCGAACTCAAGGGCCTCTTCAGGACAGAGCAGCTTAAAGACCTACGTGATCAGTCAGCCGTGTGCCGACTTCCATGTTCATCTGTCTGCATACAAAAACCACATGATAAATTCACCACCATATGTTCAACCGCCCCCCCGCCTGCCCCCCAACACACCGTTACATAAGGAAATCGACAGCCATTTCTTGTGGGGGAGAGATAATTACCCTGCAGACCAAATCACACATCTATGTAGAAGTCATTTTGTACACTTCATTTATAGGGATACAAGTCTGGGCATTGAAAATAAAAACACTACAAAGAAAAAAAGATTAAAAAAAAAACAAAGTTTCAACCTCTTCTAATCATATGTTTCTCTCCAAACTAAACTTGTTTAAATAAATCTCAGGACTTGTTCATATTCTTTTTACCCGCGGACAGCGAGACAATGCTTATTCCCACATTTACTCATTTATCTGACACAACTTACAGTAGAGGGATGGGTTTCAATATGGTTTTGTCCCTGGGATTTGATCCCATCACCATTTTTCCTGTCAGGGCAATGCTCTACAGGAACAGTAGACGATATGTTGTTCATGGGACCAAACTGCACTGACGTGGAGCAGAGCTGCTGGGCCGCACCTGACAGATGTGAAATTAACGACTGGACATATACAGAAAACGAGAGGGAGATAAATGTCAGAGCTGGAGCCTTAGGGTGCGAATAAAACCTGCCGGTTCCATCCTCTGATCCTCATGTCCAGTAATGCGGCCTCTCTGAAGGTACAGTACACCCCCAGCCCCAGGACAGGTGCGAGCTCTAAGCAGAGGAGAGGCCCGGCAGAGCTTAATAAAAGACCACGGAGCATGGAAATCACAAAAAGCTGTATTCATAAATACGTTAAAGACTCTGCCCCCTCTACCTTCACATGGTGTTGATATCTGCAGCGTGCTACAGGGACATCGTCGGAGATTAGGCCCCTTACCAAAGCAAAGCCCCACCCAACCCAGATCAATCCAATAATGCTCCAAATGTATTAGGCCTCCTGTCACCCAGAAGCCCTTGGAATCGTCCCAACTTCCCTCCCCCCACCCTGGAACACAATCTCAGCACCCAAACATGAGGCTACAACCCATCGTGTGTGCCTGTAACGGTACGTTTCACGCCGGCTTTTACAGGCCACGCCCCCCAGCCGCCCACACACCATTTCACGCCTATTCAGACTCACCCACCAGATTTTTATCCACAATATTTTTTGAGAAGGATGAATTTCTATTTCTCCTTTTATTTGTCGCGTTCTCCCTGAATACAGGGGAGTAGCTCAGCGCGTAATTACACAACCTGGAATTAAAACACGCACAGCGGATAAATTACAATCATTAGTCTGTCCCGTTAGCTTGTCTGGAGTGAATGGGAGACATTCTGCAGGTAGCTTTCTGCCCAGTGACCAGCGTCCCCCAACACACCCAGAGATGCAGGACACGACTACGGGGGACTCCATGCACCCAATAAAAAGATTCAGTATTTATTAAACCCCCAAGGAGTCGAAGGCAGTAAGGCAAATCACGCCACTAACCGCTAAGACCAGCTGTTAGTTTGTACGCAGGGGAGCAGCCAGAAATTCTGGGCCCCCTGTCAAAATGTCACAGTGCACCCCCATCGTTACATTATATAATTTCATGCATTCAGGGTCCCCTGTGAATCTGCTTTGGTATCCATGCCCTGGGATGCCGCTGTTTGCTCATCCAGCAGGTATAGGTCGTTGCTCAGTAGCCTGGGAGTCTTGGACCCAGACACCTCATCACACGACTTGGTTGGTTCCCATGACACCGAGTAGCCCGGTTACAGGGAGCTCCGGAAGGGCAGCGCCGGCTGCCATGGCGACCGATTAATATTAGAGCTCCATCTCAGCAGGATTACAGTGAGGTTCGAGGCCGAGCAGGACGCAGAACAGCACCTCAGCGCCCTGGTCACTCTCAGAGTCACGCTTCCAAAAGCTGACCTCCCTCCAGGTTGCCCCAGCAAAAGGGGAATTAAAGGAGAATATTATTAGGTCCGCAGCCTCGTCCCTCTCTCACACACTTTCATCAGTTAAAGAAAAACAGATTGGCTCTATCTTTTAAAAAAACTCACCCTTCCACTGTACCCCAAAAGATTGAATCCTTTAGAAGTTTAACAGCAAGGAGCTTTTTCTGGAGGTTTCTATAGCAACACCAATAGCATGAAAGCACTTTTGCCAAGGCCTGTAATTACAGCTTGGAAACATACACTCTAGAAAAATCACATTAAGAGACGCGGTGAGCAACATAAAGGAGCCGGATATAACCAGATCTTCCCCCCTCTTTCCATGCGGACAACACCCCGATGAGCCTCATGCAGTCGACGATCAGCATGCGTCATCTACGAAACAAGCAAGCATTCAGCAAGGGGCAGCAGTGGGAAGGCATAAGAGGGGCCCTAAAGGCATAAGAGGGGCCCTAAAGGCATAAGAGGGGCCCTAAAGGCATAAGAGGGGCCCTAATTCATACAGAGGGAGCAGCCTTATCATTGGCCAACAGCATATTATGAATTGGTGAGTGACAGGGGAGGGGGCACTATGGGGGGCAATCAGCTTTCAGATGAGGCCAGTGTCCCTGTGGTCCCGCCCCTGCCCTCAGTCTTCTTCCTATACAAGACACCTGTAGCCCTAAACGTCCCCCTCCCTCTCCCCCTCATCCAAGTTTAATTTAAGCCGAATCACCGTCACCCACCACTGTTCTAGAACAATCCCTCGTTTCTTCCCCTTCCTCCTGGCCCATCGCCTTCGCCCACTCCCTGTCCCAGCGATCCCACACATGCCTCCCACCTTCCCAGTCTCCCTGCAGGTAAAACCATATTCCTCCCGCTCTTACCATCTCAGTAAACTCCCCCACTCCCCCACCCACCCAAAACCCACTTGGGTCACTAAAATACAGACAATCCCTCGGTTAAGACCGTCTGACTTACGGACGGCTCGTACTTACAAATGGACTACTGTAAAGCCTACTGTATTAAAAATCAGTGAATAATGGTTCATAATAATGAATGCATGCACTACTTTGTGATGCTCGTGAAAACATTACACAGCTTCAGCAGTTTGTTGGCTCTAGGTACAGTACTGTATTTAACTACTTTTATAAATACTCTATAATTATTATTACATAGCACATTATTATTTATCCGGCTAACCTACAAATTTGACTAAAAGATAGACTTGGGTAACAGATGTCATTCGTAACGTGGGGACCGCCTGCACCCTACAAATACTATACACCATCACCCAAACGCATAGATTTCATCAAAGACACAAAGTGAAAGTAACCCACTGACCGCTTTACACTGTACCTTCACTTCAGTAGCACGTGCTTGCTGCACACACCCAATTACGCTAATTACGCCACATGGCCGGTGTGATCTAGGGTAATCTGAGGCGTTTTGAAGTAATCTCGATTGATGATTTGGGGGGTTAATTAGCAGAGTTTCAGCTCAGGGCAGGGAAGAAACACCACCTGCTTGAAGGGGGGGGGGGCAGAGAGGGCGAGCAACATGGCGGGAAGCATGACTGTGAAGTACTATTGTGGCGGGAAGCACGACTGTGAAGCATAACTGCAGCAGAAATCATGACTGTGAAGCATGACTACGACAAGAAGCATGACTGTGAAGCACGGCCGTGGCGGGAAGCCTGACTGTGAAGCACGACTGTGGCGGGAAGCCTGACTGTGAAGAATGACTGTGGCGGGAAGCACGACTGTGAAGCATAACTGCAGCAGAAATCATGACTGTGAAGCATGACTACGACAAGAAGCATGACTGTGAAGCACGGCTGTGGTTCAACGCGCCACTAACAGTGACTATCAGCCTTGAATTTCCAATTCTGGCTTCTCAGCCTGATTCTGCTTTGGCAGATAAAACTGCCAGAATCGCACCAGCAATTCAAGCACAAGTGGGTTACTGAGCCTGTGTTGAGGAACAGGCTAAAAAAATAAATAAGAACCTACAAAGAACAATAATATCTATTTTCAACCAATCAGGAAGCCTTTGTACATTATAAATGAATACTTTCTTTTTGGGTGACTCCTCCCGAACCCGCAGCCTTTCAGGCCCGTCTTCCAGACACCCGCTGGCCAAGCGGTGCAGCACCCGTTCATCCTGGCTTCAGTAAACAGGCAAGCGGCAGTATTTTGCACAGCGGGAGTCGGAGCAATGGAACATCCTGGATTCCCCAGCACACGATGCTCTGAGGATGAAAGCTGCGCCCTGAATGCTTGAACTCATGCTGACAACAACATGACTCCAAGAAACGGACGGCATCGGCGTCCCGCTGTCCTCAAGCTGCTCAACCCCCACACCCCCTGCCCCCGTGTGCCCCCCCACACAGTGAGAGCTTTTCTTCTGTAAACATACATGATGAATCAGCTGAAATGAAGCAGAAGTGACTGATCTGTCAGACACACACATAGACAAACAAGGCCTTACAGATTAGCTTAAAAGAAGCTTTAATTCGACAGACTCATCATGGAAGGGCTACATGCATATATGGCAGAACATTTAACAGGATACACAACAAACACTTCTCAGAAGGTGCAAAAGCCACATTCTCATGAGGATTTAAACCTTCCAGTTTTCATTTGACCACTTATGGAGACCATGGGTTTGGAGTCCTGCTGAAGCATGGAGGGTGGCTTACCTGCATGGACGCACCTTCCACACGGGCAATGTAAGCCAGCCGGTCAAGGACGGTCACGGTCACTGGGACAGCCACGAAGAAGCCGCTCACAAAGGCCCGGGCACACCGCCGTCCGAAAGCTGAGCTCTGCGCCATGCCCTGGGAGGCAACAATCATGTGATGTCATAACGCCTGAAGAGCACGGGGCCAGGCCGTCTTTAAAGGGGAGGCTAGCCTACTGTCCTCCCCTTTAAAACCTGCCTGGCAAAAGATAAATAGGCAGCAAAAAGTACCAAGATGAAAATATATGCATTTTCATTATGCCGTTTCATAGAGTGCCCGAGACTTCATCTTAACCGCATTGCATTTCTGTAGACAGTTACAACTAATCAGCGAAAAATATTAAATACATAAAAAACATGGTCAAAGTGACACAAGCACACTTCCATCCAACCAAGAAATCACAGCAGGCCAGACCAGCCTATTCATTTAAGCAGAACCTCAAGCTTGGTGGCCACGGCAGCAGAGCAGAGCGATCTCAGACCGGAGCAGTGCAACCAAGCACCCATAGATTAGCACGCACTGCAATGGGACACCTGGGTGCTATAACATGCATGGGCTACAGGAGCAGCAGATATCACACCACATGGGCTACAGGAGCAGCAGATATCACACCACATGGGCTACAGGAGCAGCAGATATCACACCACATGGGCTACAGGAGCAGCAGATATCACGCCTCATGGGCTACAGGAGCAGCGGATGTCACGCCGCATGGGCTACAGGAGCAGCGGATACCAGGCTGTTCTCTTTCTTATTGGTTCTAAATCCCCTAAAGAAGGCAAGCTGGAAATGCAGCCATACATTTGCTTTTACGGTGCTTTATTAGAAAACAGGGTCTGCCTGCTCCTAAACCCTCTTTCATCCAACTGAGGCACTTTTCAATCTTGCCCAGTAAGCCGGGGCCCGAGCGGAGAATTCCCCCAACGCACCGGCAGTGGTGGAATACCAGTGCTGAACACCACCAGCTTAGGGTGAAGGAGGCGGCTTAATGGCCCAACATTTCTCATGCTGTTTCCTGTTCATTCACTTCATTATCTGTCTTTATTTGAACCCCTCCCAGCCCGGTGCATCACGGGAAGGTAGCCCATGGGAACCAGCTGCAGCCATGCGAGTGACACAGTCCGACCCGCCTCCCTCCACCCTGCACTAGCCATTGCTCCTGGGCAGTGTCACTCCTGCCATTCCTGTTTAATCGGTACAAACTGACCAGAAGACGACAATGAAAACACCAACCACAAGCCCCCAGCCAAAAGCTAGCGATGGATAATCCGTCACTTTATACTGCTGAAATAATGCATTACCTCTAGAAATACTGCAGTCTATCGACAGCTGATTTAAATCAGCTGATAGTCTTAATTACTTGATTGGCAGACTTTAATCTGACCGATCTCAAATACTGATTTTTGCGGATGACGTACAATAGAGTATGTGCACCGATGACTGAAGTATGTGCATGAAGTTTCAAACGCAGCAGCAGCACTATGTCGTCTCCGGTCTGGCAGCGTAACCAGATATCTATTAAAGATGAAGGACTTGCAGTCTGCAGCATATGTGCAAAAGAAGTTGCTCATGGAGGATCATCTGCTAAGGCATTCAACACCACGAACCTCATTAGACATCTGCGTCTTCACTGAGAGCAGCATGAGGAATATGAGCATCCAAGATTATCTCTGAACTCTGTGTTAGAGAGAGGAGAGTGAGCGGTTGTTCAGTACAGCTGTGCAAATTTGGGATGAGAAGAGGAACAGACTCTCCAAAAACGGAGAGATGCTTATTTTTCTTGAAAAAAAAAATCCATGAGTGTCTTGGAAAAGCATGAACCTGTCACCATGAGTTAATAACCCCTTGTTTTTTGTTTGCTTGTTTGTTTTTTATGGTATAAATGGCTACTGTCTTTTTGTTAAATATTGGAAACATTTATCTTAACCGATTTAAGATTCATTCTTAAAGCATATTTTTCCACCGATCGCTGTATTAGCCAGTTCTGATTCCAGTGATCTGCAACTAGCAGTGGGACTCAAAAACCCCTATCAGAGTTTTCCTAATTATCCCTCACCTCTACTTCCTGTCAGTCAGACGTCCAACACTTTACCTGAACAAGGCATCGGATCCGGTCTAACCCAAATTCATATCATGGCCATCCATCTGTAACAAATACGACCTAATATAGTACCAAGGCTTGTCACTTTGTCACAGAACACATCAGACTATTGAACAAATCAGTGCTCTACTCCCTGACCATATATTACAGGATGAAAATAAGTCAATTCAGCCTCAAACAAATATCTAATGAAGGACAACACATACGCTTTCGGCATTCCACTAGATGAACTAATCAAACTGGAAACGCCGGGTGCACAATTCCGGCTCCTCGCTGTCCACTTGCTCAAAATGACAGGAGAGCAGGACCGTACGAAAAGCAGGAGGCTTTGGCCGAGAGGACCGGAAAACGATGGAGGTGTGATGTTACGGTGAAATCAGGTGCCTCCGTGTTCAGCCATGCGGCGACAGGAACTCTCAGGTCCATTTGTCATTGTAATACAAGGAAAGGCCCTGTGCCTGGATTCACTGTTCTGGAATGTTCCAACATGACTGCTTTTTCACTTTTTCAAACAATGGCCATACTTGCGGCATTCTTTTTAGGAGGTCTGGGTGGGAGGTCAGTCGGTTCTCTGTCTGAAAAGGCGTATGTTCATAAATATCTTCAGAACCGACACAAGCGCCCTCAAACCTTTTTATAAGCTACAGTCCAATATCTTACATCATGAGAATTTGAAAAATTTTATTAACTTGACCAAGGAGATCGAGCATGAAAGCAAGTGGGACATTTGAAGGCTGAAGCTATGAGAACCTCGCAAAAATCAACAGAAATGTCCAGATGACGCACAGTGAGCTGAAAGAGACTGTCCCCTCACACCTCCCAGACTGGGGGTTCCGTTCTCACCTCCACTCTGTGTGTGTGGGTGGAGTAGAGGGACTGGAATTGGCCAATTGTCAGCATGCTTGGCCCACACCGGAGACCAACCGGATCATACTGTATGTATTTCTCATGTATTTCCGATACCGAACCGGTCCATGTGCCACACGTCACGCACATAGCGGCCTAATGATAAGAATTGTATCTGCATATCAAGTGAAGTTGCAATTAATAATATAAAATATTTAATAGTAAACCTCAGTTTTATTTGGAAGTGTGTAACCTACGGATTTGATGAGTGAAAAACAGCAAAAGGTCAATGTCGTGTTATCTGGTGAATTTTAAAATACTGGAAAATGACATAAGTAACTGGCATTTGCCGTTTAAATCTATGCACCTGCTCTTGGCTGGTAAAGTAAAATATGTCAGATAACGTTGGGTGTACAACAACTCATTTGCAGTTAATTGCTATTTGTACCTCTTTCCAGTTACAGAGCAAGTAACTTAATGAAGTTTGGGGGAACCATAAAGTTTAACAATTTCTTTTATTATGAAAGTAAAATTTTGCATTGAAGAAAAGCTGATTTTTGTTTGTACAGAGCCCTCCATAACTATTGGCACCCTTGTAAAGATTAGTAAAAAGGGTTAGAAAAAAATCCACGTTTTGGTGAAGCAGCTTCACGTCACACTGAAAAACTGAGAAAAATCCAACCTTTCATTAACAAAAATTTATTCCAAGAAAAAAATCCTTCATCAAGAAATAATTATCTTTAACAAAAACACATGTGCCACAATGATTGGCACCCCTGCTTTTAATACTCTGTACAACCTCCCTTTGCCAGTGTAACAGCACTGAGTCTGATACCAAGTAGGTCATCTGAGTCCAATCCTCTGTACAGAATCTCTCCAGATCATCCAGGGTCCTAAGCCATCTCCTGTACACTCTCCTCTTCAGCTCAGCCCACTGGTTTTCAATGGGGTTCAGGTCAGGGGACTGAGATGGCCATGGCAGAAGCTTGATTCTGCGGTCAGCTAACCACTTTTGTGTTGATTTGGACATGTGCTTCGGATCACTGTCCAGCTGGAAGATCCAGTGACAGCCCAGTTTTTGTTTCCTGGGAAAGGCAGCCAAATTTTGATTTAAAATGTCCTGATATTTCAAGGACTCCATAATGCCATGTACCCTAATGAGGTTTCCAGGGCCTTTGGAGGAAAAACAGCCCCACAACATCACAGAACCTCCACCATATTTTGCATTTGGGATAAGGTTCATTTCATTATAGCCATCCTTCTTTTTACTCCAAAACCACCTTATATTTATTGCCAAAGAGCTCCATTTTTGTTTCATAAGACCATTGAATTTGGTTCCAGTCAAAGTTGTTGTAGGTGCTTACGTTTATGGTTAACTGACAAAAAAAAAAAAAGCTTTTTCTGGCATACCTTCTGTAGACATCTGCGCTGTTTAACTGTTCTGTTGTATGATCTGTGTGAGCTGCCATATCTAGTTTAGTTATCGCGAGGTATGTATATACGGGTTGGGCAGCGTGCCGGTATCTGTGTGAGCTGCCATACCTAGTTTAGTTATCGCGAGGTATGTATATACGGGTTGGGCAGCGTGCCGGTATCTGTGTGAGCTGCCATACCTAGTTTAGTTATCGCGAGGTATGTATATACGGGTTGGGCAGCGTGCCGGTATCTGTGTGAGCTGCCATACCTAGTTTAGTTATCGCGAGGTATGTATATACGGGTTGGGCAGCGTGCCGGTATCTGTGTGAGCTGCCATACCTAGTTTAGTTATCGCGAGGTATGTATATACGAGTTGGGCAGGGTGCCGGTAGCGGGATGCGCCATTACGTTATGCCTGAGAGACAGTTATAATACACACACAATTAACTTTCATCACATCTCCTGTCAAGTCTTACAACACCTTCCAAATAATCTGTTAGCATGAAGGGGGCGTCTGATTTTTTTCAGAGTCGTGGTCACCTCAAGATCTTGTAATTCACCAACAGTCATCCTAGGGGATTTTTTTTGCCTCTCTTACAATCCTCCTCACTGTACATGGGGAAAAAATAAACTTGGGTCCTCTTTCAGGCAGGTTTGTAACAGTTCAAGTTTTTGTCCACTTTTTTTATTATTGCCCTAACAGTAGAAATGGGCATTTTAAGGCGAGTAGCTA